TTCTGGTCATTCTCCACATTCCTCATCCTTTTCATTAAGTTCTTTCCTGTTTCCGTTTTTCTTTTAATATTACTGTCATTCAGAATTCCAAAGTTTATTGTCATATGCACAGTAAACAGTCACACTCAGTCAGTTACACTCTGCATGTCCTTCCCCCAGAGGGTAAACGCAAATTAAGTACAAAACACAAATATAAATAAAGGTGATGACAGTATGATAATAGATATGACAATAAACATGCAAATGCAGCTTTAACATTTGCACATATTGCAGGTTGTTTAGTAAGTGTACTAATCCTCTTTAGGTATCAGCTTGCACAGTGGTACAGTGATTATCTCTGTTGTTTCACATCTTCAGGGTTTTGCGCATGTACAGGTTGTGTCCAGATTCAGGGGCTGCATCCTTCGAACGTGGTCATGGGCTACATAGCCTTTGAAGGCTGCATCTTTCAGAGGTCCACGAAATGAATCTTGGGATATGTCGGGCTGTGCGTTACGCACCCGTGCCAGAACCTGTTCCTTTTTACCTTGTACAGATATTTTTCAGGTCCTTGCAATATAAACGTCAATTTCATAAAAATCTGTAAATGCATTTCAAAAAGTAAAAAAGGTTTTGCCAAAAGTCTTGTGTTTTGTTTGGTTACTTATGGTTAAGGTTAGAGCTGGGTAGGGGTTAGGCATATCATATAGAAAGGATTGGGATTAATACTATAGAAATGATTGGAGCGGCCCCACAATGATAGGAATACTTGAACTGTGTGCATGCATGTGTGTGTGCCTGTCAGTCTGTCTGTCTACCTGTCTGTCTGCCTGTCTATCTGCCTGTCTGCCTGCCTGTCTGTCTATATGTATGCCTGTCTATCTGTCTGCCTGCCTGTCTATATGTCTGCCTGCCTGTCTGTCTGCCTGTCTATCTGCCTGTTTGTGTATAATTTTGCAGAATCAAGGCACGTATTCGTCATCATATGAGACTAATTCTGAAACAATCTTCAGAGCTTTGGAAAATGCTTCTAGTTCTGTGGCTGCAGGGCGAGGTGTCACACAAACACACATCAAGGTGTATTTCAGAAAATGCCATCGTGTCAAAATGTCACCATGACCAGTGAGGTGTCCCTTAAAGCAAAGGTTCTCTGAGCTGGGAATCTGAGAACAACTTCTTAGTTGTCATACCCTATACCTTAATATACTCTATTCCACAAATGGACACAGGACCTTCTCTGAATAAAAGGCAATCAACCAGTTAGACTAACATCACCCAATTAGGTTTTTCAGAATATAATTATGGCACACTTAACTGGCATAGTAACTAACCATAGTCTTTGGCTAGTTAATTTTAAAAGAAATAGTCATAAATAATTACTACTGCACCAGTACTTGGAAATCCAAGGTAATCTAGACTGTTTTTTAGTTGTGCTTTATCTTAGGAATGACAGTGTAACATAAATCTTCAGCACGAAGAGCGTGGATTCCCGGAGAAAGACATGAGATGTAGACCACCTACAACGACGCGGCCATTCAGAGGAGTTTCACTGGAACGAAATCCCAAGGAACACGCTCCCTCACACAGACAAAGGTGAACAGGAAGAATGCTGACATTCCTCAAGCTGGGAGACGAGACGCATCGAAGACGTATCATGCTGTAAGGCACACAGAGAGGGCAACGGGACTCAGGACCTGGCTAAGACAGATCAATTGGCTGAAGAAACCTGATAAAACTTGTGAGGATAAGCCAGTGCTCGGTTTTTCAAAACAAACCATTCGACGCCCCCCACCCCTGTCACCTCGTGTCACCGCGGTCCAGAGGTCTTACTGGCCCAGAATGAACATCACAGACATTGAGAAACACACCTGTCGGCCTGCAGAATATGTATTGTGTTTCCATCACCCGGCAACCCTGGAAGGTATCAGAGGGTTAGGGTCAAAGTTCAGGGGTCACCTTTCAGCTAGCCGCTCAAGACCACCACAATGGGTGAACAATGGAAGAGGAGACAGTTCTGCTGGGTCACATCTGAACATATTGTATGTTTTTGTATATACCAACTTGCACAATTTCGTATATTTTAAAACTTCAATTTTCTTATTTTTTATGTTTCTGTTCTGTGTCGTCTGTTGAATGTATGCACCAATACTGCCAAGACAAATCCGTTGTGCATGTAGGTGTACATGACCAATAAAGTCAATTCTGATTTTGACGTTGTCCAGAACACATTATCTACACAAGCGCACAGCTTCGTTAGGCTTGCCATTACGTAGCATAAATGTAGCTGTTTGGGAGTAAATACACTTTTTTGGCTCAGCGGGTCAGACACTGTGGCTGTGATCAGAAGGTTGCCGGTTCAAATCCCAGGACCAGCAGACTGATTTCACCATTGGGTCCCTGAGCAAGGCTTGCAGCCCCCTTTTGTTCCCGGGAAGTTCTCAAAATAACGTACGTAAAAGCATCTGTTTAATAAATAAAATGTAAACATACAAGTGCAAATCATTGTCAGGCTATCGGAAAAAAGAAAAGAAAAAACACCAGGAAGCATTACCCAGGATCCCAGTGTGAATTTGATTTGCTCACTCCGGTTCACCAGACAAATCACTCCGTTGAAGCAGCAGAATGACTGACTTCATGTGAACTATGTTGTGACAGAGAACAGAAGAGTAAACAAGAGTTATGGGAGAAAATCTTCAATAAAAACAATACCAGGCAGCAAAATAAAATAAAATAAGTGAAAGGAATAATCCTTTATACATTTTTACGAGAAACACCCAAGCAAAGTCTGAGAGACTTTATGTCTGGTTTTACTTTAGACCTTGTGCATATTTTATGGGGCAGGTTTACATATAATTTTACTAATATACGTTAATAACATTTATTTGCTGTTACCCAGTAAACAACCTTTGGTGAATGGTATTACCCTGTCATACAGCTGCATAGTCCATGGAATGATTTGGGGGGGCGGATCAAACAACAGGCAAATTAGGCAGCTGCACAGGGCCCAGTCGGCACAAGGGGGCCCAGTCAAAGTCACGCAATTATGTGTGTGTGTGTGTTGGTATGTATACATGTATGCATGTTGTAAATACTATACACATTCCGGGCTCTAGCTATTACCTGTGCTGTGGAGGAAGTGAAATGATCAGTAGTTTTCGTGGTAGGGGGGTCTCCCAAGCTATGCTTTTCCTATGAGCCCTGAAAAGGTACAACCAACTCTGGATTTGGGAAATGTGTTTAAAGGTACAACAGAAGGTTCACCCCCACAAACATTCAGTGGTAAGTTTACTATCCCAGCTGGTCCTCTGTTCTGGGTTTTATGGTTGTCTATTAAACATTTAACAGGGGCAAAGCTACGAAACTCCAAACAACATTAGTGATCACGACAATAAACTCAACCAAGACGGAAACAACAAAAATATTTCAGATGAAGGCTCAGAGATTTTCCTGGCCTAGATGCCCCATCTGCTCTGCCAGAGAGGTGCAGAGCATGACATTCTCCAGGATGGAGAAAATTTGGACGTATCCTCAGAACGGGCCACCTTAGATCTCTGCTCCATGGCAAACTAAAAGGTAAGTGATGAAAGCTGCGTTTCCAAGACAGCAGAAGACTCAAATCAGCTCATCAGCAATTTGGTTCTGGTCCAGAGATGCACAGCCTCATTCTCCTACTCCCACACTGCATGCGCACAACCATGAACAGACCCCATCCAATCACATCAGATGTGCCTCATTCCCAAACTGCTTACAGCTACCAGTAAACAAACCCAAAGGTTTGAAATTCAAAAGCTGCATTTGCAACGTGCGTAAATGAATATGTAAACAGACAGATTAAAAAAGCTCCTGGCCAAGACGCAAAAGCTGTAGATCCCCCACAGGATGACGGGAAGACATGTAACAACACGCGCATTGTTTGCAGAGGTAGATGATCATAAAGCTATATGTTGGGGTGTTTAGGAGAACTTTCTGTTCCTGAATTATTAGTGCCAGGCGTTTTATAATTTCCACTGAAAAAGTGCCTCCTTTATGGGTTCCTGACTATGGTCTGTTCCTTGAATTAATTAGCCAGCTCCCACTGTCTACGGTGAAACATTTACGCTGTGTGAAATCCCAGCTGTTAGGTCTTAAAATTAAGCGCTTTTTTTCCCCCACAAATGTACTTTATAGCTCTGATCGCCTGAGGTTGAACTCCTGGGTTTTCACCAATTGTACAGTAATTTTAAATCCAAAGTAAAAAGCGTACAAAAAGGCCATAATAGGTTTATTTTACACTCTGTTTCCATTTATTGATTCCTACATTACCTGTGACATTACAATTAAAAAACAGGGTGGTGTGTAAATCTGTAGATGAATCTGTCATCATCAGTAGGCTGTTGGGTTGGGTCACAGGGCCGGCAGACTGATAGCACAGTTGAACCCTTGATTAAGGCCATTAACCCCCAGTTGCTCTGGGACGCTGGATGAGTTCCTGACTCTGCACTGTGACCTCCAAGCTTGCTCTCACCTGCATTTGTGTCTAGGGTCCTATGGAAAGCATGATGGGATAGGAGAGTTTAACCAAGGAGATGAATAAAATATCTCTAAAAATAAATAAATGTAAAGTCTTTGCAGCTGTTTTCCTTGAGAATGATAGATGTTATTGCTGTTGTGTACTCCTGATGGATCAGGCCACCAGTCGAGACCATATTTCAGGGCCTAAGCTCTGATCCTGTTTTAATTCACAGTCTCTGCCCCGCGCGTCCTTCCGGAACGTGCCGTCAGACCTACGGCAGGCCAGGCAGCGACACCCTGCCCGCCGTGATAGGGTGGGATAGCTGCTGGTGCCCACGCGTGCTTTGTGTAGGCAATGGAAATGGAAGCGGATCCCGTGAGGCTCACGGAGACGGGATGAGAGGAGGAAGAGGGTGAGGAGCGGAGGAGGAAGAGAGAAGTGCAACCGGGATAGCAGGAGCATGGCAGGCGGGTCAGCCACGCTGATCGGGACATGGTGATGATTCACGGCTGAGGGGGGCAATCCTCGTAACCCTGGGTTTCTCCTTTTCACGAGGGAAAAGAAAAAGTGAACGGGACTCCCTGAAGCCACGCTGAGCCAGAGGAGGGCAGGCACTAGGACCTGCCGGCTCCCAGCCTAGACGGCGGGCAGACACCACCTCTCTAACTTTCAGAACAATCAATTTGCCAAAGAGTGTAGGAGTTGGGCTGCAGTGAATGGTGGAGGACTTGCTGTTTCCAAACCTACCAGAAGGAGCTGGGGACTTGGCTTTTGGGGGCTAATCCTGTGGACTATCCTGGAATATCCTGTGCCTTTGCTGAACAGATTTTGCACTTGCCAGGGAGGCTGGAGGGAAGGTAAGGACCCTTACATTTCCTTGCTACCTTCTCAATCTGTCCTCCTGCGTGAAGGAAGAGTGAGTGAGAGAGAGAGAGAGAGAGAGGCTCTCCCCTACCTGTCCGTGAGGAGCAAGGAGAGAAAAGCTCAGCGAGCTCCTTTAGCACTGAAGTAGCAAAGAAAGGGTGATCAGTGGACTTGCTTATGCAAAAAAGGTGAAAATGTTCTGAACAGAGAGATCCTGCTGGCACCAAACAGATTGGACCAACTTGATCATGCCCCCTACTTACATGGCCCCAACCTGCAGATGTCCAGCAGGGAAATCAGTGAATTGGACTGTTTCCTGAGCTACAGGTCTAGGGTAAGGGTGCACTTGGTTTGGGGGGGGGCTTCAGACTTCAATTGGAAGCAGCCGCCCTCTGCCCCCCCTCCCACTACCCCCACCTTTGAGGGGCTAGCACCCTCTGGCTGGTCAGGCTCATCGGGTTACACCCCGCTATGCTCCAAAGCACCCTGCACCCCTCCTCACGTTACCCGCTCGCAACCCCCCCACACCCCCCAAAACGCCACCGTATGGAATATCCCAATTACACGTACCGCGGGCATCGCAGGTCAGCGGGGGGAGTATGTGTGTGCCCCTCCAATGCGCGCGTGTTTCTATGTCTGTGACTTTGTATGTGAGATCTTCCAGGGGCTGGCATCCACAACTCATTCAGGCAATTTAAAAACCGCCAAAATCACATTCCAGAATTCCGGAAGCCACCATGGTTTGTTGACGAAAGGGAGGTGTTATTTATATTATGTTCACGATTAGGACACGTGATTTCTTCTCCGTTTCAAGACGTTCGGGATGCCCCCCTCGTCACCGGCGGAGAGGCGGAAAAATTGTGCCTCACAGGAGGCATGATGAAAGTGTCCAATCCAAACTGCCCACTCGTGGGTCACCATGCCAACGTGCGTTCGGCATCACCTGTGTCGCCCCACCATTGGTCGTCTGTCTGCGGCCTCTGATCGTCTACAGGGGCACCGGCAGTGAGGGGAGACCGCTTGCCGTCTGTCCCCCTCGAATCCCTCGACGGGGTTGGGGGCCCTACCAGGTACCCTGGTCCCTCCAGGCTACCCAGAGGGTGCAGAAAACTCAAGGATGCACGGACTCAAATGCAAATAATACAAATAGCCCCTTTACTACCATCTGACAGTATAGGAGAAAGGAGGGAAGTATCTCCCATCAGAATAATACCTTTAAAAAAAGAAGAAAAATATATATCTATTTTTCCCACATTTGATTCCATTGAGACATGGTCTGTTGGAATTATAGGACCAAACATTTGTCTGAATGTAATGTGAATTAACGCTCGACTTGAAATGTAAACTTATTTTCAGTTGTTATCTTGGGAAATGGAATCTATTTTCACAGGTGAATGAAAGGTGAACAAGAGGCTTTGGGGTATTTTACTGAAAGCTGGATGAACAGGACAAAAGGTGCATTTATAAAAAAAGATATTTCAGGCTAAATTAAAATAAGAGAAACAATAACGCTGAATTAATACAGTAAATTAAAATTAAACAGAAAGGCAATCACTATATTTGCATTATTTATTACTTGATTTTTTGATAAGAAGCGTTTATGGGTTAGGTAATGACCTTTCTGAAGATTTAAGATAAGACAAGATAATATGAACTTTACTGGTCCCGGGGGAATTCTGGGGCACACAGAAGCAACAAACACAAAATGCAGACGAAATAAACATATAGCATGAAATAAAGACGTGCAAAGAGAGTGCACATAGTGCGGAGAAGTAAACATAGTGCAAACAAATTTAAAAAGTACACAAACAGAACATCACGAAACATGACAGTAAGAAAACAAACAAACAAATAATCAAAAAATAATAATGAATGAACAGAAGGTTTATGTGCAAACTGATAGCACTGGATATTTACTACCTCTCTTCTCTCTTCTTTTTAGTTGGCCTGTTTTTTTTTAAAGTTCCCTAAATATTTTGGCAATAAAAATACACTCAAACTGCAAGTGTGAACACGACACGACGCAAGCAGAGATTCCACGTTCATTTAATGAGTCTTTTTAAATTCCTCTGCTGCTTCGCGAGTGGCCAGGAACATTCCTTTCCTCGTAGCCGGGAAGAGGACCTTTGTGCCAAAAGTCTGTCACGACAAAACCTTGACGTAGCTTGACCGTGCCTTCCCGTGAATTCCAGTTTAAAAACTATTCTGTGTGCTTCAGCTGTTGACCTGGGCCTTAGTGAGACACGTGTCCGGCTGGACGAACCCCATCCTGGCTATACACGGCCCTCCTTTGCAGGATTTACATCCTATGGGATCCTTTGCTTGTCCCCAAGTTCTTCTTGTTTTGTGTCAGTTCATTACCATAAATCTATAGGAGAAAATGTTGGGTAATGGGATTGTGGAATGTTGGGCTCTTGCATCGTGTTTGTGTCAGTCTCTGCAGAAGTGCTGAAGCCAGGGAGATTCACCACAATCACCCCAACAGGGGATAGAGAGCCATGTTTTTGTGGTTAGGGAATTTGAATTTCAGATTCTACCCTTCAGCTAAATGCTTCCCTTGAATAGCGTTAGTACGATATCCAGCTGTATGAACTGGTAAAATGCAGAAGAATGAAGTATACAAGTCATTTTCGGTAAAAGTATCTCCCAAGGAACCGAATAATAATATTATCCGATTAATAATCCATTATTGGCCCCAACTGAGCCATATGTTGCATCACAGATGTGTTTTCTCAGTTGCCGTTTCAGTGTTTCTGCTACATTTATGCCTCTGAGAATTTTTTTAGCACACAAGGACGAGTGCTGATGTTCAGAACGCGTGTGGCAGAAGCTGCATCTGATCATGGCGGGTCACAGATAAACTACTGCAAGGAATTATTGTTATGTTAAGCCAAGAGCCAAAACCCCATGTTTAGCTATTTTCATTTCCTTATGACCAGGAAAAAACACATTTTGTTTTAGTTTTCACAGGATACCTAAATAATTACAAACATTTTGTAGCTAAAAACTGGATTAAATTTCAGTGTTGGTCGTGGCAGGTTTGCTGGCAGAACCACTCAAAAAGTCACTTAGATAGTTAGTACATAGAATCAGAAGATCATAGCTAGCTAGCTGGTTAGCAGAACATGCTGCTTTTGCATCTCATAGGTAAGGAACGCGTTTAATTTTTAGTGTAGTAGCTGTTTGCAGCCATCAGGGGCCCCTAAACTTCAGGGGGCCCACATGAATGCGCAGTTTAGTGGCAGTAAACACCCCCACTGATTGTATGCAGGGTGTTTGTCTATTTGCCGACTTTTGTTATTGTACAGTCTGGTGTTCTTGTATGGTTCCTCACGCTCTTCATCTGAGGTGGTCCACAGTGGTCGCAGGTCCTCCACTCACGTTGACTCCTTGTAGATATCAGTATCCCATTGTGCCAGGGAACAGGATGATCAGTCATAAGTCCCCTCGGTGCTGGGGAATCTGACCCGGGCCGTTCACTCTGGAGGGAAGCTGTGCATTATTGTGTGGGTTTCTCTGTTTGAGATGGTGCCAGAGGCTGAACTTTCACTTCTGATGTTGTCTAAGTTTGGCAGTAATGGACCCGACCAGAGTAAGACGACAACTCTGCTTTAATGAATAGATAATTCTTATTATTAAGACATAAACTTGCAACAGGAAAAGGAAGCTTACTGACTTAGAATATAAAAGGAAGCTGGTAAGTTTATTTATGTGGACCTGTGTCCGGCAGGTCATGGGTTCAAATCCTGTGGCTGTCAGTGCAATATCCACTTTGGATCCCTCGAGCAAGGCTGTTAATCCCAGGTGCTCCGGGGACGCCGGCTGACTCTGCTGTCTGACCCCACACTCGCCCTGCTTGTATGTGGCATTGAACAGAAGCGTCCGCGATATTAATGTAAATACGTTCGCCTCCTGTAACCGCCATAGCAACAAATGGGTATAACCTGGCATCAGTTTCGTGTTTTCCGACTCGTAGCGCTGCAAGTGCTGATTTAAAAACCCGGCAGGTGTTCCCCATCGCTTGGAGAGATTTGCCTCATGAAAGGATAAAAAATGTTTTTGTCATAAGATGAGTATTAGCGATAATAACAGACATTGCGCGCGGAACGCCTCCCCCAGCTCAGCAATGAAAGGGGTGATTAATATTCCTGAACATTTTTAAAACGCTTTTAAAAGAGCATGTTAAACCTTGTTCAAAGTGTGATTTATGAAATCGTATCAAAGGACGCGATCACTTAGATAATATGAGCTCGAAGAGAAAGTGCAGCTTGACTGCAGCTCATCAGAAGCGCCGTGAGGTATGCGCGGCCTTTTCCACCTGCTTCCAGGATTCTGGAAAAACATAAAGAAAACAATAAACAAGATTAAAACAACAAAGAAAAATAACAATGACTGCGATATAAGATAGGCCTAACATGAATGAACATTAAGGCCACCAGCTGCTGTAAAATGAAGATACAATGAAAGTTACGTCTTGTGCTTGGTACTGTGTAGGTTTTTGTGTTTAGGGTGAGGTTTCAGCGTGGAGTTTGTTGTGTCAGCGGTGAGGCAGCCAGGGTAGAGGTTGAATAGTTAGTTCCACGTGTGACATCAGGGAACCGTTTCCTCAGCATGTGTCTGGCTGACTTTAAAGCAGTATCTGATCAGAGCTGAACCCCTTCGGATACAGAGAGGCAGCGGGTTGCTCGTGGATCAGATAAAGGATTCCGGAGCTTCGGTGTACATGCCAGCGGATCTCAGGACCGTTGTATGGCCAGGATGGTCCCATTGCAGCCTGGTTGCCGCTTGCATTCTTTTGACTGCAAACACAGATGCTGTATATACTCATTATTTATAACACACCATGCATACTATGTACATCCGTGGCCAAAACTATGGAAACACTTCCAGTTTTTAGAGATTGCAGAACTTTATTCAGCTGTTGCTCCAGTTACTTATTTAATCGTACATTGTTCGACTGTTTATAATCATTACTGCCAATATTCCTGTAGAA